GGGACACATAGGTGGTTTGAGACCAGCTGTGGGGGATCCTTAGATTTTGACCTGGGGCCTGTTCACAGCAAAGTCCCTGTCCCTGTCTACACCTCCCAGAAGCCCCAGGGAGGCCAGACTAGGGTCTGGGTCTCCACCTGTAGGGAGGACCTGGAGGCCTGATGGCAGAGCTGACCACTGCACTCCCCACCCTCCTCCCAAGACCAGGAAGCAGATTAACACAGCACAGCTGCTGCAGTGGCCTGTGAGGCTGCCCCTGCCTGGCACTGGTGCTGACAGACTCACCTGTTGTCCCTGCTGTAGGTTCCAGGGCGACAGCCACCTGGAGCAGTCTGGCTGCTATCACCACTGCGTGGATGAGAACATCGAGAGGAGAAACCACTATTTAGACCTCGCTGGGATAGAAAACTACACATCCCAGTTTGGGCCTGGTAAGGGGCTCCAGCTTGCTCCTGGGGCGGGGTGAGGGCCTCAGGGGCGGGGTGAGGGCCTGGGGTGGGGGGTTGGATGGGCCAGGCAGGCCACTCTCAGGGGCCATCATTGCTGCTGCAGACTGGGGAGGACACAGCTGTGACTGGACTCCCAGAGCAGTGGTTCTCAACCTGTGGGGCGCGACCCCTTTGGGGGTCGAATGACCCTTTCACAGGGGTCACCTAAGACCATCCCACATATCAGATATTTACATTACGATTCATAACAGTAGCAAAATAACAGTTATGAAGTAGCAATGAAAATAATTTTATGGTTGGGGGTCACCACAACATGAGGAACTGTATTAAAAGGTCATGGCCTTAGGAAGATTAGGAACTGCTGTCTTAGAGGAATTGACGTGAAAAATGTTTTCAAAATTAAAGTAACGTGCACAAAATCGAACAAAATCAAATAGTGTCTGAGGGCTTAGAATATCGTGAAAAATAGCCATTCAGTGCCCGGACCCCAGCCCACCCAAGGCCACCGGGTTAACTCCTGGTGGCCGTGTTTTCCACAGGGAATGTCAGATTCACTAAATAAAACCTGCTCTGTCTCTGTCGGCCAGTGGCGTATGTTGACCTCTCGCTTAATTTCACCCCTAACCCCAACTCCCTCTTCCCTTCCTCCTCATCTAATTCCTATCCAGGTATTTCTACATTTTTCAGTCCTGTACTTATAATCCTTTCCTGTCCCAGGACCCTCAGGCAGTTCTCAAGGTCTCAGTCATGGTGTCTCTTTCTCACCCGTCTCCCAGAGGGAGAATTTATGATTTTTGAAGACCTACCAGTTCTTCCCACTTAGCAGATGGGACGGTTTATTTCAGGGTTTTCTTGCAGAGGCAGCTGGGCTGTGGGGGTAGCTCTGAACAAGAACAGCTGGCATTGGCCAGGCGTGGTGGCTCACACCTATAATCCCAGCACTCTGGGAGGCCAGGGCCAGTGGATCATTTGAGCTCAAGAGTTCAAGACCAGCCTGAGCAAGAGCGAGACCCCCTTCTCTACTAAAAATAGAAAACCTAGCCCAGTGTTGTGGTGGGCATCTGTAGTCCCAGCTACTCAGGAGGCTGAGGCAGGAGGATCACTTGAGCCCAGGAGTTTAAAGTTGCTATGAGCTATGATGCCACAGCACTCTACCCAGGGCACAAAGTGAGACTCTGTCTGTCTTCAAAAGAAAAAAGAAAAACCACCTGGCATTTATTAGTCTTTGCACACTGGGGCTGAGGTGAGTTTTAGGATAGCGCACAGTAGGTGCTCACTAAATGTCTGTTGAATTGGTTCCTAGGCTCCCCTTCCATGGCCCAGAAGTCAGAACTGCCCCCCCGCACCTCCAATCCCACGAGGTCTCGCTCTCACGAGCCAGAAGCTGTCCACGCCCCACATCGGAAGCCCCAAGGCGCGGACCCGGGCTCCTTCCACTTCCTTGACACCCCAATCGCCAAGGTCTCAGAGCTCCAGCAACGGCTCCGAGGCACCCAGGACGGGAGCAAGCACTTTGTGAGGTCCCCTAAGGCCCAAGGCAAGAGCATGGGTGTGGGTCACGTGGCCAGGGGGGCGAAAAGCAAGCCCCCTGTGGGACCCACCATGCCGGCGGTGTCCCCGTCTGCCCACCTGGCTGCCAGCCCGGCCCTCCTTCCCCCGCTGGGCCCCCTGGGTCACAAGAAGCACAAGCACCGAAACAAGGAGAGCCAGCAGGGCTGCCGGGGCCTGCAGGCACCGCTGGCCTCGGGCGGCGCCGGCCTCGGGCGGGAGCACCTGCGGGACGTGCCCGCCGTGGTGGTGTACGAGAGCCAGGCCGGCCAGGCGGTCCAGAGACATGAGCACCACCACCACCATGAACACCACCACCATTACCACCACTTCTACCAGACATAGAGCCCCTCCCCAGGGCCCCTGCCCCGCCATATGAAGGAGCCCCTCCCCCGACGCCCCCCGAGGCATTATTATTCTATTAATTATTGTTATTATGACGATTGTTATTAATTATTGTTACTCCACTAATATTTAGCTAGCCTTCATGTAGAAGATATATGGAAACACAGAACTAAACTTTTATTTATATGTTGTGGGAACTGTATAACTTACCCAGGAACTGACTCTGGTTTGGAAGTGGCCTAGAGATGGCAGAGGCTCCCTTAGGGCTTAGGAGCTCAGGGTCCACGAGGATTGGCCCACACCCTTCCAGAGCCGTGGGAGCCCTCGGCCCAAACTCTGCCCACCCACCCCCAGCCCCAGTCTCTTCCAGTACAACCTTGCCTGGCCCGGCCTCCAGACACCCTCGAAATCTCCGAGAAGATCAACAGCTGCTACCTCTTAGTATTATTCTGGTTTTATTTTGCCCTTAACTGATTGTAATGTGCTACAAGGGATTCCAGCAGACTGCAGACACACGACCTCCTTGCTGTTGTGTTTTTTATGTCCCAACCTACAAACCTGAGCTGTCCTTTCCAGAGTTACTTTTGACACTTTTCCCGTGGAATCGTACCCTTGCCCCAAGTCAATCCCATCCTTTTTCTGCCACGCACAACATAGAAATACAATTCCTCTTTTTTTTTTTCTTTTCTTCCTTCTCTTTTTTAGAAAGACACACAGACACACACTCAAGGAGTGTTTCTGAAACCAGCCTTTTCATTTGGAAGCTGCTAGAGAGGGAACCAGCCACATAAACAAACATGGTCTTCCCAGATCAGGCATGTGTGTGCTGTTGGTTGTGATGGCAGATGTGGAAATCTCGTGTTTTATCATTGGCAAATATGTATGTACCTATGTGGTTCTCCAGTGGAGCTTTCTACACCTATAGATAGATGCCATCTGTCCATTTCTATGTATCTTTCTATAAATATACACTCTCAGGTATCTCTTTCTGGTGTGGAGAAGTCAGTGGTTTGCTTCTCTGGACATTCCAGGAGCCCAGATGTGACCCTGTGCCCTCCTGTTGGGGCTGGACGTCCTTCAGATGCTTTCAACACAGTTTCTTTCTCAGAATTTAGAGTCTGACAGATTTTCGAGGGAAATGGGGATACTGGCCAAAGTTCGCATCTTGGAGAAGTGTCCTCTGAGAGAAGGACATGGTCTAGCCAGACCCTGCAGAGACCTGGAGAAGAACCACAGTCAGCTAGTTAGGGTCCCCATGAAAAGCAGATCACTACTCAAACTGGCTGAGTAGAGAATTTAATAAAGGCAGGTTAAGCCTCTCAAGTGAGTGCAGAGTTCTGGAGCTGCCCCTGTGGGGTGTCACTCCCAGCTCTGAGCCTGAGAGGGGAAGGAAGAAATCTTCAGCAGACAGGAGATTAGTGGGTGAGGGAGAGCCCTGAAGGAGCTGTGTGGCCTTCAGCCAAGGGATGCCACCAGGAAAGGAAATATTCTGATCCCACTCTCCTGCCTCTGAGTCCTGTTAAGGTACCGTTCATTGGCCAAAGCCCCTGGGAGCCAGCAGGCCCGGGAGCTTTCTGCTGTGGGTCACATGGGCGTTGCAGGGACAATGGCTCCAGAGAGCGGCTCTGGAGGAGCACTGGAGGGAGAATGGCTCCAGCTGCCTGCCTGTCGGCTGCTGTCTCCCAGCTGGAATTGTTTCCCAAAGCCTTGAGTTTGGGTTTAATGTAGTGAATAAGGTATCATTCCTGAAGGTAGTGGCTTAGTTATTGTGACTATATTATTATTTCTAATGACTGGTGTGCCGGGGACTGGATTAATATGTTAATCCTTAGGATAAAACCCCATGAGGCAGGCAGGGGATGCTCTAGGGAGCACGTCTGAGGCTCAAAGAGGCTAAGTAACTCCCTTGAGACCGCATTGAGTGGTAGAGCTGGAAATTGGGTCTTCCAGATAATCCCTTAGCCACTGGTGAAGGGCTTAGCCACTGGGTTTGGGTTGCCCTCATTTGGGGTTGTGGGTTCTGTTCAGTCAGAACCCAAAGCAAGCTGAGGTTCATGAAACCAAAACGGGGGGCGGGGGGGAAGGCAGGAAAGAAGCTGTTTCCTAGATGACAGGATCCAGGACGCCAGTGAAGCCAAGTCTGGTTCTTTCTCGTTCTATTCTCTGGATTTATTTATACCCCTAACATGTACAGCAGCTCTGGGTACTGGCATTCTGGGTTCCATAACCAGAAAGATAAGGGTCTTCAGGGGAAAATCCAGGGGAGGATTTTGATTGGCTGGGCTTAGATCTGCTATCCATCTATGGACCAATCGTCATGGCCCAGCAGGGATCACATGGCGCGGGGGATGGGGTCTGTACAGGAAGACAGGAGGGGAGGGGCGCTGAGCAGACAGGAGCTGCTGGGGCCCAGGCCCAGGATTGCTGCACCTGCAGAGCCACAGGTATTAAGCAGTTGCTCCCCAGCCTCTGACGATAGGTTCCCTGATGCCTCTCCCAGCCCCACACCTGTCAGGACTCTGTTACTTCTTCCTAACTGGGATTTACCCAACTTTAAAAATCATTTTCAAAAAGAGTAAATGTGCACATGTGAAAGATTCAAATGCATGTGATACAAAAGGTGTAAAAAAAGTAAACTTCCCTCCACCCCAGGCAGCTTCTTGGGTGCCGTTTAGGACCCTGCAGTGTGGTGCGGTGGCTGCGAGCACAGACTCTGGTGCCAGGCTGTCCAGGTTTGTGTTTGGTTCCCTCTCACTGTAGCTCTGGGCTTCAAGCGAAATACCAGACCTCAGTTTCTCTTTTATAAGGGGGAGACTCATGACAGTACCTACCTCCCAGGGTTCTTGTGAGGCCTGCACAGGTTAAAACAGTGCCTGGCTCGTGTGAGCATGATGAAAGGGTTAGCTGTCCCATACCAGAATAAATGCTTTTGTATGAGATATCTTCCTATTTAAATTTTTAATTTTTTAAAATAATTTAAACACAAAGTTTGAGACCGAAAAAAATGTGTAACAGAAACTGTGAGCTCACCACCTAGAATTTATACATGCTGACATTTTGTGATATTTATTTCAGATTTATTTTTAAAGAAGAAAACCACTTAATTCTCTCCCATCCCACCCTTTTATTTTTACACGGGGAATAGCATAGTGTTTATACTTCCTTTTTCTCTGCAACCCAATATATTTAGAGGTCTTCACCCCTTGGTCCTATAGCTCTGTCCACTTAAATAGCTGTCCTGCCTTCTGTTGCTAGAGGCACTGTCACCAGCTTGCCCATCCCCTCCTGGTGGGTGACAGGTCATCTCTCCTCCTGTGCTGTGAGGTTGACCACTAGCAGGAGCACAGCCACGGAAAGTGCCCATAGGAAATGCCGAATTCAAGAGCAAGTACGATTTCAATTTTGATTCTCTTATAAATAACCTCTTAAAGAGGTTCTACCAAATACTGAGGAGTTGAAGGAAGAAGAAAGAGAGGAAGGAAAGTTGAAAGGGGGGGAAGAGAAAGGAACTAGAATGGCGCAGCTTGTCGGTAAGAGTTTCAGCAGTTTCCTGCAGGCTGGTGTGGCTGAGAAGTTTGGGCTTGTTGCAACTCTGCTGACACCCATTTCAGAGATGCCCCGGAGTGCTGAGCATGGAGCCTCCCCTGGGATCTGGAGAAGTTGCAGAGGAGACTTCACTCATGGGAGGAGACACCTGTCCTGCTGATCTGTCCCTGGGCACTGTGGGCCAGGTGTGTTTAAGGCAGACAGCCAGTGGGACGCCAGCTACCAGGGCCTGTGTCATGTCCCAGAGCCAGGGGGTGTGGTGCATTTCATATCCAGCTGTGCCAGTTACACTTTGTGGCAAAAGAAACAGCCTGAATGGTTTCTTTTTGCTTTCTCCTCTTTTCTCAGCAGTTAGATCTCCAATCATTAGTGGGCCAGAGGGGCGCAGTCTCTGAGGTGGCGGGAGGAGGGGGAAGGCGGCCGGCATCCCCCCACGGTGTCTGGCAGATGCTGGCACTGATGACCCAGCTTTTGTGAGGCCTGTCAGTGCTCTTGGGAATGGAAGGGAACCCCCAGAATGTGCTCAGGGCTAGAGGGCTGTGAATGCCCCCAACCCACTGCTGCACCTCCTTATTGAAGGTGCGGCCCCCTGCCACCCAGCAGACACCTGGGGCTGTTCACCCCAGAGACCCCACGGCAGCCGTACCCCTTGTCCAGCACACTCCAGCGCCTGTCCTGCAAGCCCTGCCCCAGCTTCCCCAGGCTGCTGCGTCCTCCAGGCACATGTGGGGCTGCGTTTTGCAGAGTGAATACAGGTGGCTCAGCCACAAGCTTTCTTGACTCCTAAAAGCTGAGAGTTTTATTGCTTGCCACAGTCATACCCTTTGTCTGGGGCTCTGATCTGGTTTTGGTCTCATCACCTTCCCCGAAACCAGCAGGAACTTTGAACCCAGTCCCTCTTCTCAGGAGCAGATGCCCCCATAAGATTTTCTTGACGAATATTGTTAACTAAACAAAATTAACAAGGTTTATATTTGGAAAGAGGACAGCTTGATTTCTTAAAGGGTAGCAACCTGTCTGGTGGCCATTCCCACAGGTTGGGAAGTAGAGCCCTGGCCAGAAGCCAGGGACAGGGGCTTCAGAGAAGGGGGCGGTGCCTGTGGCTCAAGGAGTAGGGTGCCGGCCCCATATACAGGGGGTGGTGGGTTCAAGCCTGGTCCCGGCCAAAACTGCAAAAATAAGTAAATAAATAAATAAAGCGGCAAAGGAAAACAGGATTTTATCCTGAATGGGGCAGTCAAACATACATGTTCAACAGGCTATAGAGCAGTAGTTCTCAACCTGTTGGCCACAACTCCTTTGAGGGTCAAATGACCCTTTTCACAGGGGTGGCCTAAATACATCCTGCATATCAGATATTTACATTACGATTTACGACAGTAGCACAATTACAGTTATGAAGTAGCAATGAAAATAATTTCATGGTTGGGGGTCACTGCAACATGAGGAACCGT